ACAAAAAAATAAATTTCAGAATGGATTAAGCATGATTTAATTATCAATAATAAAAGAAGGCGTTATCTTTGTTGTTGCGAACCTTAGTTTCTCTAGATTGGCAACAAATCTACTATTCTGCTAAGTTTCAAATGTAAACAAATATGTCCGCCTGGAAAAATAATTAGGTTTAGCCGTAATTAAACAACTTTTAAATTGTTGATAATTCTACAAATATTGCATGCAGATTTACTAAAGGTATAAAAACCTTAACCGTAAAGGTAAATCAAATGTACATATATGTATATACTTTTGGCGCAGCGCATTGGCAACGAAAATAGGAGGTGCACATCTACATGTTATAGCAGTCCTATATACAACTTTTCAACTTTCTGAAGCTATTTGTTTTTCAGTTTTGCGAGATACATACATACTTACGTACGTACCCGCAGACGCCGCCAAAAGTTATCTTCAGAATTCATTTTAAATTAGTTTTATAAATTCTTTGGAGGAAAGAATGTTTTATTCTGTCTTTATGCACAGACGTCACGCAAGAACATCGTTAAATTGCATTTGATAGCGGTCAAAATGGGTATTTTCATTGAAATATAGCAGGCGCAATTTTGCGATTACAGTGCTTCCTTTTTACTTCGTATTCAAATATTATAATAAATCTAAAACGATGTATAAAAGAAATTAAACAAACAAAAAAATAAATTTCAGAATGGATTAAGCATGATTTAATTATCAATAATAAAAGAAGGCGTAAAATGAGTTCAGTAAAAATGTTAATTTTATGATTTTTGTTAAAATAAAAACGAAGGAAGGAATTGTTGATTTCTTTCATATGCATAATATTAACTATAGTATATTATTGACGTATTATATTATACATTAACCTCAATATGTGTTTCACTAATGCCAGCAGTTCATTTTATTGCGAAACATACGTATTCAAAAATTTAACAAATAAAATTGACTAACATAATTTTTAATTCCAGGCAATACTGCTTCAAGAGTTTATTTGTTTTCAAAAGTTTCTTAATTTTTTAATAGTTTTTATTACTTAAATGGCAGCACAGCATAAGAAAGTTATCTGTCTAGGGAAATGTGTATTTTCCAAGAGAAGTTTTATGTGAAACCTATCTAATATTTACCGCTTTCATGAAGAAAAACACGAAAACTTTCCCTGTAGCCAGCCCGTTTTCCAAATTATGAATCCGTATCGAACTAGTACTATTCAGCAATTTTACCGGTTCTCTCCGGTGATTTAGCAAAGCATATTTCATCAGTGTGCACAATTCTGAACGATTTAATATGCTTTATTCAGTCTAAAATAAAAGGTTAAATTAAAAAAAGTGTTGCAACTCTGTATTTAAAACTAAACAGTACTTTCAAGGAATTTCTAAAAACATTTAAAATCAGTTTTACACAGTTTAATTTTTATCTTTATGCGTTGTAACACATGAGGTTTATAATCGATCATGGTAAAGCATACAAAGGTTATTTGTGCAAACGTGTTGTGATTAACAAGACAGAAAATCATGAAGCCAACCCACTCATCAGGAACCGAGATAAAATTGTCTGTCTTGCGCTTTCAACTAGATAAATTGCTTCAAAAATATCTGTAAAATAATATTTCAAGACCTTGTACACAGTTTTATTATCTCTAGTATTTATTCTCGGTAGGGGAAAACTTAAATTGTATAGAAATTTCTTAAAAAATTTACACAACCCCTATTATTTGTATTTATGAAAGAAATTTTAGACAATTAAAAATAACATGAAATGTGGAAACAAAAAATGAGGTATCATAAGGCGAGTATGTCCAAGTTACTGAGAGTTAAATCAAAGTTTACCTCTAATTAGTATAAGAAATTTAATTGCAACCCCTTCTAATATATTTGAACACAATTCCGTATTTGTATGTACACTAAATATTTTATACGCAAAATTGTAATTACCTAAACTTTAGTCGCAATATCTGCCTTTTGAAAATAACTTATAGGGATAAAACATTCGTTTTATATTACATGATGCTTAGTATATTTTAATGAATAATCGAGTCAGATTGTAGAGACATCAGGTTATTTCGAAGCAGGGGCCATGAAAAATGGGCCATGTCCTCGCCGGGACTCGTTACGGACATCTCGAATAGGCGGCGAGCGTGCTGACTACTACACCACGAAGGTATTCTAAGAGGGCGGGAGAAATACATTATATACACCCCCTTATAAAGGGCTAATATGGATTAGGGGACCCAATCGCCAAATCGTCGTGGTGGAGAAATACAGTTAGAACAATAAAATTAAAATACAATTAAAATTAGAGTAAATACAAAAAATACAATAAAATACAATTGAAATTAAAGTTTCTATGAAAAAACAAGCAATTCCGCTAGCAGGCAACAAGGCAGATTTTTGGGTGCACAAAAATGAAAGCTTCATTTTGGTCCCACTCGGCAAAAAGACACTAGAGGTGCAGAAAATGAATTCACTATTCTGCTAAGTTCCAAATGGAAACAAAAATTAAGCCTAACCTCACTAAAAAAACAAATTTTAAATTATTGATAATTCTCTACAACTACCGCAGGCAGATTAACTAAAGTCATAAAAACCTTAACCGGAAGATAAGAACAACAAAATTCAATAATTTTTAAAGCAAAGAATGCTCAATTTACCAACGTATAAGAATAAAAAAACTGAGCTCACGAAGCCGACTAACATGGTGTGTGTGTGTCTGTAATATATATATATATATATATATATATACTTTTGGTGCTGCCGATTGTAACTAAAACGGAAGGTGTACAACTACATATTATAGCAGTCCTGTATACAAAATTTCAACGTTCTGGGGCTTTCAACGTTCTTGAGTTATGCGTGATATATATATATATACAGGTACATACTTACGTACAGATACCACGAAAAAAATCTGTTTTGAATTCATTTTAAATCAGTTTTATAATAAATTTTTATAACTGTGGAAAAAGACGCCTTTCTTCTGTCCTTACGCACAGATGTCACGCAAAAACATGGTTAAATTGCATTCGATAGGGTCAAAATGAATATTTTCGTTGAAATATGGTACCGGAACCTTTCGTGATTACAATATATCCTTTACTTCGTACAAAGAAGTAAAAAGCATAAAATTATTAAATATTAATATAGTTACTTAAAATGAAAAATAAACATAGAAATATAAAGCAATTTATTAAAATTATGAAATTAAATGTATTAAACATTATAATTCTGTTAAATTATTTTAATTTTATTTAAAGTAAAATTTTGCTTTTTAAAAAAGGGTTAAAGAAGTTTTCAATATTTTTGACCAATTATTTCTTTTTTCTGAAAACAATGGATATTTACCTATTACAAATTTAAATAAAAGCTTGTTCGGCTAATTTATTTGCCAAATAATACTTCATAAAATGTGAAAACGTTTTCTTATCTTCATTCAACAAATTACTTTACTTCAACTATCGTGTTTTATAATGTGATTCACTCAGATATTATTGCTATAGGAAAATTGTGCTTGTATATGCTATTTAGAAATAAAATACAGATTAATCTCAAACGGTACATGATTAAATAAACTTTTTATTTACGTATGTGTGCATTATTAAGTATGATGAATGAATTAAATTAGATTATATATTAGTTTAAATACAGAATAGTAATTTAAATGATATCTGAGAGCAATATTTGTTAACATACGCTACGTTATTAGATTCAGTATTCAGAAACAGTTAAAAAAATGGTGCGAAATATTGTTGAAGAACGTACAACCAGAAATTCAATATTTTAGATTTTATGTTCATCTTTTCATTAGATTTAATTATATTATTTCCTTGAGTTAAAGTTTAAGACCTATGTCTGTCAAATTATACTCTTCTAATGATAAATATAAAATATTTTTACCCGAAATTATAGCCATAAGCATGTAAAATGCTTTAACTTTTACATTAGAGACAATCATCAAGAGAAATTAAAAATAGAATAATTAAATTATGCATATTCATTAAAATGCAAGTAATTTGCAAATAGGTATTGTTAAAATTCATTCAAACAAAACTAATTAGCAGCAGATAATACCTACATGAAACTTATCTTTAGTTTTTGGCTGAAAAATGTCGAGATATACAGACACGAAAAATATAACAAAGCGGATTCTGGTATATGTAATTTGCCAATTAATTATGAATCTCAGGCAATTAAGTTAAGTTGCAGACAATTCTAGAACACATAATCAGATTCTGCTACCTTTTACACTATGTTGATCCACTACCTCAGTTCGCCACAACCTCTTACCTTATCTTAAAATCTTCTCACTAGTTTGTCAGACATAATTAAATATAGATTACCGGAGGCTTATCGTTTGTTTTCATTCTAAGCTTTCATTTTAAAGCTCTTCTTAAATGCTAATATTTAAAATCTATTAACCCAAAGGAGTTTTCGTACGAATTCGTAAGCAGAAAAAGAATAGTATATTACGGTCTGAATCTATCCACTGTAATGCTTTTAAAAAATTGGACGATGCTGATTACCATAGCTCTGTCACTGTAGACGACTAACATAACTGATTCACGGAATTAGCACCACTTGTGGAAGGCAGATTGATTCTCGTTTAATCCCCCAGTCATGAAATAATCTTTAAATAATAAAAATATTTCCCTGTCGTAAGTAATGCTAAAAAAGGAGAAATGTTTCAATAAACTCTTCAGTGATAATAACTTTCATCACCTCTTAAAGCCCAATTGTGGTCAAGTGAATAAGATTTATGGCCACAGCTATTTCATACAGATTCCATTCCTGGCAAACAGGCCGGTTTCTTGAATTTGTAACGCGAATCAGAACCAGTTTTCTTCAGAAATTCGTTTGCGAGAGCATCTCTCCTAAATTAGATATTCTCCTTTGTCACAACGAATTAATTAATCGCATTAATATCTACTCGTATTAAACATTTAGGTACTTTACCGTTGATGGAGCGCCTCTCGCCAAAGTAGAAAATTTGCTAACCTGTATGTCGCATCGTGAATAGCTGTGTAGTGATATTGTTGTAAATAAGCAAGAAGAATGGACTTCAATCCAAGAAATTTCTCTCCTTCATTTCCAGTTGAGTAGACAGGCCAGGTAAGTAGGAAGCTGATGCGTATAAATACCTGCAAATAAACATCTTAGTGTTCCCGATGCAGAATGTCATGTGCAAAATAAAGAACTAAACATTAGAGCAACTCTGGCCAACACTATGTTGATTTATATCTTATCGCATTCGCGTGTTTGAGATTACGCGGAAAGATGAAAATATTTCCATCATTGTTAAATGACATTGACAGCTCTTTGAGTCGTCTGTAATCAGAAAATAATTTCGTAATATCGTAAAATCTATTTTGTATTAATTGTCCAAGCTATTTTCTTCATCTGTTCTGGATTTAATAAAACAGTCATTCTCTTCATGAAGCGTTACGTACTTTACATAATAATCCATCTGGTTAGATTCAAGCCGAAGTTTATGTTTGGTCCTGATAGCAGAAATGTAGACAAAATTTACTTACGTGTATCGTGGATATGAGCCCATTCCCTTAGATAAAGGAGTCCCTCTTCTTAGGCCCGTGCGTGTTGTACTATAATCAAACCAAACCGAGTGCCAGCAATTAGTCGAATGGGAAAGTAGCTGAACACTAGTAGTTCGGTCCGGCGTTACAGTCTCGACGAACAGATTGTTTGCATGAGTGATTTTGTGGTTTTTCCCATGTATGAGGGTGTATACGAACCAAGTCCTCCATGAACGTGTGCCTCCCTTTACTCATATTCCTTAAGTTCTTTCCCGTAATCAATTTATAGCGTCATTAGGTTATTTTGAAGCAAAAGACATTAGAAATGAGCATTGCCCTCGCCGGGACTCGAACCTGGACTTTTCAAATGCGCGCCGAGTGTGCTAACCGTTACATTACGAAAGCACGCAAGAAAGGAGGGAGAAAATGCCCTATAAATTAAACAATAAGGATAACTGTGCGTTGCTTTGTTAGTCTTTATCATATTTTAAGCATTTCACTAAAAATATATTTTAGTCTTATTAGCAACAGTTAATTCATTCAATTAGTTTTCAATGATGTGAGATTCTCAAATACCTTTAAAAGAGTCATTTCGTACCCTTAAGAAAAATTTTCAAGCTTTAGAAGTCACAACGCGAGCATTTGAATTATCATCAGAAAAATTAAATTAAGTTTCACAACGCAAATTTTACGCTTTGAACAAATACTTGATATAGCAAGTCGATTTCCAAATTTCGAGTTATGTATGCTTTTAAGAAATTCAAATTCTTAATAACAATAGTGCGGTACCGGATCTTCTGAGCACTGAAGCTTCGAAATGTATTAAATTGTTCAAAGATACAAATCAAACAACAACCAAATGTAATATTTTGTGATTTCAAGTACAGAACGTAACTTTGACTGGAAACTTTCTGATTAAGAGGGCCCTCCATGCATGTCAAACGGAATATGTGAAGGAGTTTCATTAAAGAATTGGATTCACCGGGTATACACTTCCTTTACAAGTTTACAGTTGACTGCTTCGAGTAATGCATTAACTCCTTTTTCGCTAGTGTGACTTTATCATTTTAGAGGACTGCTAATGTATTCGGCAAAAGAATGGTATACCAGATGCAGAGCAGCCAGAAGAGCTTTTATTTCCTCTAAAACATGAATGTTTTAGAGGACAGATGAATTAGATGTTTTAGAGGACAACAGCACAGATGAATGTTTAATTTCAGAATTTTTAAGCATTACTAATCTTGTTAATTACAATCTTCTTTCCAACAGTACTCGGAGAACAAAATAATTGCAAAAATATACTTTATAATTAGAAAAAACAATGGATTTTTTATAAATTTGCTGTTATCATTATCGCAAGCGTTATAGTTAATTTAAGCAATATGTTTACATTTATATCGTAAAACCAGGACAATCTACCTTTGTATATCTATGTGCCATTTTTAGTAATATTTAATGTGGCCGCGATGTGGCCACATTCAATGTTAACTAGTATTACAGAGGAAAAAAAAAGAAAGCTAAATACTTTTACATTAATACCTTTTATTTCTAATCAGAAAAACAGATATTTTACAGCAATCATAATATTAACAGTTTTTATGTTCATTTATAAAGAACAATTGGTGCCATTCCTGTTGTCGCAAATTTTATGCCAAATATGCATTAGGTTCATACATTGTTACTTTTAGCAATGCAAGCTAAAATCACATAGCTAGATGAAAATATTAACAAAATATCAAATGTCACTTTTTTCAAGCAGCTATATGTGTATGGACTAAATTTCACGTTTCCATAATTTTAGTAAAGGCATTTTTATTCAGATTGTCTGATTCAAATCATTGCAATGATGTCACATGTCCATAAAACATCAATTTTGCAACCCACATAATATAAATTTGCGAATATTGTTAAGTGTTTTCCTGATTTTGTAAAAAGCAGTTTAATTTTTCCCAAGAAATCAGCAAGTCTTTGAAGTACATTATGGCGGCTCAACTAACGAACATTATTATATACCAGTAAATCATTCTACATTACTGTGGAGTGAAAAAGGAGAATTTTGTTTTTCTTAAATTTTATTATTTCCTGATCCAAAAAATGCTTCGGTTCAATGAAAAAAAAAATATTTTTGAATTTTGATGTTCTGCAGTTTTTGCGATAATAATTCGTCTTATTGGAAGCTGATAAACATCTCAAATATGCGACATTAAGTATTGAGGTTTATTAGCACTGAATCCCAGCCACTTGAATTATTATTGACGGAATGGCTAGTCATTAAGGGGATTTTGTTTCAGGATTTCTAATCAGCCATGGTTCTCAGATTCAATTTTAGAGCATGTAAAGTACTGTATTCTAGACAACTGAAACGTCTGGCCCCCTAAATGGGTAAATATTCAAACCTCTCCATAACTGGTAACTTTAGGGCAGCAGTTTTCATTCTAAACACATCTTATCGATTATTTCAAGTTTGATCACAAGGTGAGGGTTAAAATACATTTTTTATTACTTCCTTGAACGAAGTAATAAAAAAAGTATTGTAATCACGAAAAGTTTCAGGAAGCATACTTAAACGAAAATATCCATTTTGACCACTATCGAATATGCACTTTAACGATGTTTTTGCTTGACATCTGTACGCAAGGACAGAATAAAATACTATTTTCCTATAAAAAAATTATAAAAACTGCTTTAAAATGAATTCTGAAGAGAATTTTTGTGGTGTCTGTGCGTACCTATGTATCTCGCATAACTCAAAAACGAGTAGCCTCAGAACGTGTAAATTTTGTATATAGGACTGCTATAACATGTAGATGTGCACCTTATAGTTTGGTTACAATCGGCCTCACCAACCGTATATAAATATATTTATAAATGTATATCCACTGTGTTACCCGGCTCAGTAATCTCATTTTCTTTACTTTTATATGTTCGTAAATTGCGCATTTTTTTCTTTAAAAATGATTTAATTATGTTTTTGTTATCTTTCGGTTAAGGTTTTTATGTCTTTAGGAAATCTGCAATGAATATTTGTAGAATTATTAACAATATAAAAGCTGTTTAAGTGCGGTTAAGCCTAATTTTTAAATAACATGGCTGACATGTTTGTTTAAATATTAAAAAGAATTCTGAAGAGAATTTTTCGTGGTGTCTGTACGTACGTACGTATGTATCAAAAACGAGTAGTCTCAGAACGTTGAAATTTTGTATATAGGACTGCTATAACATGTAGATGCGCATCTTGAGTTTTGGTTGCAATCGGCCGCACCAAACGTATTGTTTGAATACTTAGAGTCGTAGATTTGTTGCCGATCTAGAGAGACTAAGCTTTGGAACAACAAAGATAACGCCTTCATTTATTATTGCGAATTAAATTATGCTTAATCCTTTCTGGAATTTTTTCGAGAAAATAAGTGTTTAAGATTTAATTCGTAGTTTTCAATATAAATATTTTGAGTTTTTATGTATTTTTGCCTTGTCGCGAAGTGAGAACTGAATTAATTGAATGAGAAATACTGAATCGTCTGTGAAAAACTGTTTCTTTCTCGTTTTGTTTGCTTAATTTCTTTTATACATCGTTCTAGATTTATTATAATATTTGAGTAGAACATGTGGCAATGATTAGATAATTCTTCAAATGATATAAATTTTGTGTATTCTGAGTTATAATATGAACGAAATATATCGCTGTTAAGGGATCCTAGCGCCAGAATGTCGCTATGGTAAACAAATATTCTGAGTTTTAAAGAGTGCATTTATTACTGCATCTTATGAGCTGTCGACGAAGTAGATTTAATTCAATCCAATAAAATTAATGAAATGCAAGAAAAATGCGTATAATTCAATATTCCGTACAAAGAAGTCATGTGGTGTACACATCAGATTTTTTGTCATTAACTTTTAAGACCTTTATTCTTGAGCAGGCAAAGCTTGCCTTTATAATTTTGTAACTATGATAGGCCGATAGGTTCTAAATATTGGAAAAAAATAATCACTCAGTAAAGATTGTAGATCATTAGTTTCTTGTAAGATTAAAATTACTCGGAGGTGACACGACACATTAATTCTGACAGTATTTCATAAAATATAACTTTAAGGGGTTTTTAACTTTAGAGTAATTGCATCGGCTAATAGTTAGTTTCGTCTGTATGAAAAAGAATGTGACTTCAAAACTATAAAATGTTTTACTTTCAGAGGGTTACATATCCTACACACACACGAAACAGGCTTGGAATGGGTCAAATACACATAGATAAATAAAATATGATAATTATTATTGAAAGAGAGTTTGATATATGTACAAGTTATGGAGATAACGTAGGATTACGTTTGGATAACAAAGAACCAGTAGACAAAGACATGTTTCATAAAGGCTACAGCAGATTTTGCTGCAATAACCACGCAGTTAGAATACTTTGAAATAAAGTATCAGACATTGGCACATAAAACAGAAATTAAAATAGACATATTTTAATGCATTTTTCTTCTTATCGATGAAAGTGATTTTGTCAAAGTGCCCCTGTGAATAGGAATTAAGGGCTGAAATGCTAATTAACCCAGTAGATGGCTGCCCCATTATCAGTACAAAAGTAAAATGTCTCCGATTTGCTTATAATAGATAACGGGTTATAAA